GTCAAACCTTTAAACAGTTAGGACCAAAACCAAAATCCCCTCTCGATTCGTTCCATGAACGAGAGGTCCACAAATTGAACGATCAAACCTTTAAACAGTTAGGATCATCTCAGAACTCCCACTTGGTCAAACCTTACTACAGTTAGGACCAAAACCAAAATCCCCTTTCGATTCCTTCCATGAACGAGAGGTCCAGCTTCGATTTGTGCAATCAAAACTATAAAAGTTAAGATTGCTTCCAATCTCAATTGATCAAACCTTATTCAGATTCTCTGAATAGAAATCCCAATTTAAATTTCCTTTGTACCAGGAGATAGAATATAAAATTCTTCCTCTCCATCATCGGGTTCATCTCTACCAACAAACAAGAGACCAGGAGATAGAATATAAAATTCTTCCTCTCCATCATCGGGTTTATCTCTACCAACAAACAAGAGACCAGGAGATAGAATATAAAATTCTTCCTCTCCGATTTCGGGTTTATCTCTACCAACAAACAAGAGACCAGGAGATAGAATATAAAATTCTTCCTCTCCATCATCGGGTTTATCTCTACCAACAAACAAGAGACCAGGAGATAGAATATAAAATTCTTCCTCTCCGATTCCGGGTTTATCTCTACCAACAAACAAGAGATCAGGAGATAGAATATAAAATTCTTCCTCTCCATCATCGGGTTTATCTCTACCAACAAACAAGAGACCAGGAGATAGAATATAAAATTCTTCCTCTCCATCATCGGGTTTATCTCTACCAACAAACAAGAGACCAGGAGATAGAATATAAAATTCTTCCTCTCCATCATCGGGTTCATCTCTACCAACAAAAAAGAGACCATATTACTCCAATAGGTACACGAGTCTAAACTGTTTTCCTACCCTCAACAGGAAGTTTCTGGAGAATATTACTCAGAATATTCTTAAGAATAACCTGAATACTCCGATAGGTACACGAGTCTAAACTGTTTTCCTACCCTCAACAGGAAGTTTGTGGAGAATATTACTCAGAATATTCTTAAGAATAACCTGAATACTCCAATAGGTACACGAGTCTAAACTATTTTCCTACCCTCAACAGGAAGTTTCTAGAGAATATCAGTTAAAATATTCTTAAGAATAACCTGACTACCCCTAAACGGGTATATGCAGTGTCAACTTGACGACAAGAGCTGATTTCACAAGTACAAGTTCCAGCTTTAATTCAAGATCTCTACAATGGACAAGCGATAAACGCAATGCCGGGAAGAATCTTAACTATTCTACAAAGCACTGAATAGATTGAGAGACAAAGAGATCAAAAGTTGAAGCCACCTACGGGTTCCTCTACACGATCTACTCAACCAAGCATTGAAAGGATCATAAGTAAGATCTATCTTATCCAAAGCATCCCAGAACTCCTCTATAAAAGATTGAGTCTGGAATACTTTGGAGGGGGTATCTGTAGGCGTCAAAAAATGCTGAAAGATATCCAAATACAGCTCAAGAGGAAATCATCCAAAAAGGCAGAAAAAACACAAGTCTTGACTGTCTCGCCGTGCGAGACAGACTTGACTGTCTCGCCGTGCGAGACAGACTTGACTGTCTCGCCGTCCGCGGGAGACAGTCTTTGCTGTCTCGCCATGCGAGACAAAATTTACTGTCTCGCACGTGAGACAGCTTTCAGATGGTCAAAACTACCTTTGCAACTGTCCTACACGTGGCCACTAACTGTTCAAGAACGTGGGAAACGTCGTGGGCGAGAATCACGTGGATAACTGCCAAAATAACGGAGTTTAAAACGTGGGAGAGCGGTTACAATGAGAAACTGCATTTTCCGAGACAGTATTTACTGTCTCGCTGGGCGAGACAGCAAATTTACTGTCTCGCTGGGCGAGACAGCAAACACTGTCTCGGCCAGCGAGACAGCAAACACTGTCTCGCCCGCCGAGACAGCAAATGCTGTCTCGCGAGCACTGTTCATCCAGAGGGTTATAAATACCCCCCGAAGGCCATTTTCATAGGGGGGCCAGCAGAGATCCAAGACTGATCATTTTGAGCACTTCAGAGCAATCCAGAGCAGAGAGAGAGCAGAGGTGCTGATCTTACGGCCAATCCTTGATAATCAGGCTTTGACTTGATTTCAAGAAGAACGACTATCTTACATCGATAAGATATCGTTTCAATTTCTCACTTCGATAAACGAAGTCAGAATCATAAACCCCTCACGGTTCAATCAGAATCTGTGATTTGGTGGTCCACGAGTCAAAGCGCTCCCGGCACAGGCAAAGATCCCACGAAAGCAGTGATCCAAACAACGATCCTGCGTTTATTTTCTCAAGAGTTGTAATTTTCTTTTTGTTGTGTAAAAGAGTCTTATAAAAAGGCTGTTTTCTTTGAATTTATTGTAATCGACCGAAGATATAATGAATTCGACAACAAATTCGACTTTTGGCGAAAACAATGACAAATACACAGAAAACAATACTCAAAGTAAATGACGAGAGATATACGTGGTTCGGCAAATTTGCCTACGTCCATGGGAGGGGTGAAGGGAGATTCCACTATGATGGAGAACACTGACGACTTGCACAACCCACACGCTCCTCCCAAAGAGATGAAGCTTCGATTTTACCCAAGAGAAGACAACCTCTTTCTTGTTCAATCCCTCTAAGTTCTCTCTCCTTTCTCTCGTCAAGATCTCTCCTTTTCAGATCCAAAATCTCTGTTAAAACTCTCCCCTTTTTTTATATCTATTTTCAATCCTAGGAAACAACGTTCCTATTTATATCAAATCCCAGTCCAAAACCGATATGGAAAACAAAACCGTCCGCTCTCGGATTCTGAGACACCCTGAGGTGTCTCGGCTCGCGCGCACAATGCCGAGACACCCTTTGGTGTCTCGCGCCGTTCACAGTTGTTTTCCCATAATACAGATATTAAGGTAGGGATTATTAGTAAATGTTTTCCAAGCATGCTGATCATTAATCTTTGGCTAAGTTTGGTGCATAAACTTAGCATGGCAAAGTACAACACTACTTTTGTGACAGGAAATGCGTTGGACGTGCATAACGCTTCTTGTGCTTGCCCAGTCTAAATATTATTGTTCATATTTCAAGTTTTTACCTTGGTCCGTAAATCACTTCTTTTGCGCCTCTTATTTTGTTCGGGACGACCATGGTTGTTCCGAAAGAATGCTGGAGGCGTTCCTTTGTTATATAGGACGACCGAAGCGGCATATACAAATCAGGATTATCATGCAATTCTGTTATCACATCATCAAGAGACAGGGAGTACTCTAAATCGTTATTTATTTCATTATTGGCAAGTTGCCAGTTACAACTGCCCTCTGACGTTTGATCATCGTCAAGGTTGATTACAAAGGGTATAATGTCATTTAGAACATAACCGCCATTGTAATCAAATCCGGTTTCGGTATTAGCTTCTCATCCGCTGTCCGTGCCTTGGGTCGATGATTCAGTATCGGATTCGTTACCATAAAGGAGAGAATCAGTGAAATAATTCTCATACCCTTTAAATGGTTGCTTATCCGCGACCACCGTTTTAACCCTATTATCAGTGTTGACATATTTCAAACACTAATGGAGAGTTGAGGGAATTATAACATTACTATGGATCCAAGGCCGACCCAATAGTAAGTTATACGACGT